TCAAAGATAACAATTGAATTGAGATGTCTGTCCAAAGATAACAATTGAATTGAGATATCTGTTCAAAGACATAGGTAGTCATTTTGTATCATTGGTCAGTGTCAATGAATAATGCATATACTACAGAAGAACTTGATGATGTATTTAGAAAAATAGCACATGGCAATGAAACAGTCTATTGAAGATCATGAAACAATAGATATCAAATTTTAATTATTATTTTATTCCCTTCAGAAAAACAGATTTTTAACATTTACAGTGCAAAAATTATTAGCCGAAAAAAGAAATCACCATTGACTCAAAATATTGCAACAGTTATTTATAAGAAAATATCAACATTTAAAAAAAAATTGTTAAGTAAACAATTCCATTCAACATTTGCATATATTTTAGTATATTTACAGATTTGTTTATATTCAATTATACACACAATATGGTAAATAAACTTGGTTTCAGCCAATAAATGTAGGTATAACAAAAGTTAACATTTCAGCTATTTTTAACAAGACACATTACACGTGTTTACAAATGGAGGAGATAGAATAGTTGATGACAAAGAATACATTGCCGACTGGCAGTGATAACAGCAGTAACACATTTCAAAGTTATAGCACAAAACTTCAAGGCACCAAAGTTGTCACTCGGCATGTGTGAACATATTTTGTATACAATGAATATACTTTATAGATATTGTATACTTTGTTCTAGAACCACATCTAACATGACAGGCATGACAACTGTGATGATTTAATGATGATCAAAAGCATTTAAACTTGTTTTCAACTGGGTAGAATTTCCTTATTTCAGAAATTGGAAAAAAAAAAGTCAATACGTACTTTACAAAAAAATAAAAATCAAAAAAATTGAACTTTCAAACAGATCAATGAAAGCATGTGGATTTGTTTTTCAAAAATAAAATAAGTAAATGATAGATTCAAGTACTATTATGTTTCCTGATACTAATACATCTGAAATGACAACTGATACAAAAAAATCTATTGGTTTACAGAAAAAAAAAGACACCATTTGTTCCTGAAATCGATGCACACAAGTATTTTTAATTGTCGATTAAAGTGTGTGTTTATTTTGATTTTCAAACATTGAATATTTTATTTTTCAAAGTTCTGACAAAAATAAACAATAAAACGATGAGACACACATTTTTAACTGACATGTGTGATGACCAGAGCATTAATGTTTATATTCTGAGGCCACCAGTGCATTGGCAAGCATTGAAAAAAGAAGTTCCATTCAGGTGTCTTGGGTGATATGAAAATGACAATATGTACAATATATAGTTCTGGCAAGTACGAACAAACTGATCATATTTGAGTGCGTAAAGCAGTGACAGTATTATTATTGTAACAGAATCTGCCTAAAATAAATCATTTTTATATTAGTCAATGGAGTGTGAACTTTTTCATTTCCCTGTAAATTTGAGAAGACTTGTTAATTAACGTACATAAAATAGCAATTTAGTAGCAGTTTCTATAGACCACAATGAAAACACATTTCGTTATTCAAACCCCACTACAAAATATTGCAAATTTGTTGATCCTTTAAACATGAACAAATACATTAGAATTGTTCTATGTCATGTTACCAACCCAAATTTTGAGATGTGAGGTTAGTATGAAAATATCATAAAGTATGCACAGTACAAAAAGTATGTGATTGTATCAATCAACAACACATTCCTGTACTATCTGAGTGCATACTTTGATAACCTTATATATTATACACTTTTGCTTGCTTGTAGTAATAATTTACAGCGAGAGGGTCGTCACCTGCGCATGCGTCGGATGACCATAGATTATTGGTTACAAACAAGCGTCCAACGATGAGCCTTGGCATTTTTAGTGTGTGTTGTTATCGTCGCTTAGGTCTCAATTCCTGTGCATGCACAGGTGACAACCCTCTCGCTTCAATGAGAGATACCACACCGAAATGACAACAAAAAAAACGTTTTGCACTGCACGAAAGTTTGCATACAGAAGTATGCATCTGAAGTAAACACAACATTTTATGGATGGGTAAATTCTATTGTTTCCACAGTGTCAGATGTATTATAATAATTAAATATATCCTTGATATTGTCATAGAAAAAAAAACGGTAAATTCCCTAAAACAGAAACATATGTTCACTCAATTTTTTAAATTGATTTTTTCAGAGCCATGGAGGTAGAATGAAAA